TAACTGTTGCAAATCGGCAACGCCTGCCTTGAGAGGGTTAAAAGGACATCAAAATAATACTTTTCCATTAGGCATCAGCATATAATGTTGGTTTATTAATAGCAAAACATGTCTTATAGAGGGAAGGATACAACAACAGTTGAATCAATTGCAATATGATATGAGATGGTATTTGCATGCCCCTTGAAGAATGGTGCATATGTTACACTGTAAAAAAATAGATAAAAAATTATGTTTTTAGAATAGTTTACGGACCTTTCCATAAGTGGTCAAATGGAAAGTTCTGTAGATTTACAGTACACTCTCTGTACTATTTATGGACATTTACTTCAACTATACAATGGAAAATTATACAACTGAACAGATCTAAAGAAGGCGCTCCTGAAATTTGGGTTATTAGAACAAAACAGATGGATGACCACAGCCCTCTCAACACAAGCCTGACTTGTTCCCCATATAATAATAAACCACATAATAAAACATTAAAATAAAAATAGATAAAGACAGATTACTATACCAAACAACACATTTTCAACAAAAGTTAGAATGAAGACTGTCATGGCTGTCGGGGCGAGCCGTGAGGTGTTGTGAGAATGAGGACTCAAAATGCAGGCAGTAGACTGTTGATATGAGTGATGTTTATTTACAAAGTGGCGGAGTGACAAAACAGGCAATGAGGCATGAGAAATAACTGAAGGAACCTAAACTGGGCAAACTAAGAGCTAACCTGAAAATAATGACAAGGCAGGGTGAAGGGCAGGGTGAAGGGCAGGGTGAAAACAGAGAACCAAAACACCATGAAACGCAGACGAGCCGACAACGAGCACAGACTGACACCCACTATATATACACACACAAGGTAATCAGGTAATCACACAGAGGAGGGAAGCACAGCTGATCCTAATACAAAAGACGACTGGAGGATACAAGCTGAACACAGTAGCAACAGACACAGACCTTCAAAATAAAACAGGAAATCCACAACACAAACTCAGGGACACGAACCGGCCACAAGGGGAGGACACAGGATACCAAAATCAGAATAAACTAGAACAGAAGACAATAATCATATTAAACACAAAATGCTGGGTCAACGACCATGACAAAGAAATAGTTGCAGAGAAAATGTGTCTGCTTGAAAATGTTAATTAAATATTTCTATGTGCTACAACATGGACATAATGATAAATATGCTGAGGTAAAACTGCATCTGCCAGGCAGGTCTGAGGCTAAAACTGGGTTTAGTGAAACTCTGCCTGAAACCCTTTAAAAGTCTAAAGTAGAGGCAACTGTAAAACACAAGTATTACTGTAGAAGTTATTAGAGTCCTAAAACCATTCCTTCCTGTCTATACCTAAGTGGAACCATGAATTTTTAACTTTTCCCAGTTATCTACATTAATGTTTTGAAAAAAATCACACGGCACACCACGAAAACATTTTTTCACAAAAAACGTATTGATAATTTCCCCCCACGGACCAGGTATAGCAGAATTGGCTTGGCGTTTGCCCTGGTATACCTTTTTTGCTTTCTTCTTACCACTACTCATGGTAGGGTCGGAATTTACTCCAGGACCCTGGTCAGATTGGCTACTTTTTCTTT